GTAGAGCCGCACGTCACCGAACAATGAGCCTTTTCACTCTTTAAATCAAAGCGTGCAGAGCATACAGAGCCACAAACCGAGAATTTGCGGTTTGGCAGATGGCCTTCGTGGCCAAGCGAAGCTGGAATTCTCGAAGTCGGCTTTCAGAAAAAAAATCCAAAGTTAGGGAACCACAGTTGAATATGTGCCCAATTTCCAGACGAAAAGACGAGGGACACAGTGAAGAGCAACATGTCAGGGTACTCTCCTATAGCTACATGCACAGTTCTCCACGAGCAGGACCGTGTTAAATTTACATGTGCATATACACTGTACATTTACTTTGTTGGCCCTTCGCACAAACTATCCACGTGCGTGTGCTTTAAGCACGCCCAATGGACTTTGAACTCTTGCGTGCGGTGGAACAAAAAAAGGGTGAATACGCAGAATATAAGTGCATGATATAAATAAGACAATACTTGTGCCAATACCATAGAGCTATATATAAAACTAAAGCGCAAACTTCTCATTCTCCGCGCGGAAAAAAAAAGATGACGCCATCCTTGTCGCAGACATTATGTGCGTGCTCAGGCACTCTTAAAAATGACCTATTAGTATTTCAGAAGTTACTGCAGTCAAACTGCGTGAACTTGCTTATCACTGTAAAACCCCTTACCGTTTGTTGCGTTTAGGCCTATAAACTAAACACACGTTTAGTCGTGAACGTGGTTGAAAGTATTTATCATCGAGACATTAAAAGGCTGTTTATAGCGGTTTCAAACGTGAATTCATTATTTTCCGCCAATAATCTTTAGTGCCGATGATTTTTTATATATCATATTGCAAGTGGTTAATTTGAGCTGATATTATGTATAACGATATGGATGGAGAGTGGTTTATCACTTGATTTTCACATAAATACCGTTCACACCATAGTGTACCTACAGTTATACTGCTTACGTTTAAGACGTGTATGTACAGGCATTTAAGACGCCTGTACAGTGCACACAGGCGCATGTGCTGTATGTACACACACGTGCATGAGCACTTCGATATCTTTCCGCGTCCCCCGCACGTCTGCTGGCTGTTGTAGCAGTTGGCTTGCTATCACTGCATACAAGTTGATAATAAATAAGTGTTTAAAAACATATGCTAAACACATCCACACATTTAACCATAAACATGCGTTGCGTTTACTAAATAAAATAATGTGTTCAGCATGTAAACATTTCGTATATGTGTTCATTGATAAACGTGTCTAAAATTAATGTTAAAAATTGTTACAGATTTGCGTTTACTTTAAATATACATGTAGAAGTTAAACGCTCGGGTTTTACAGTGTACTTGCTAGTTGGGCGTGTTTGCTGGGATTTTAAATCGTCCATTTGGTACATAGAAGGCATGGCAAAATTAAAACCAAATCCACCTGTCTGTCACTCTCTTCAACAGTTACGATTACTGGTGCCATCAATATCTGGCAAGATTGCAAATTCCCGCACCAAAGGCTAAGCCGTTCATTGGTAATACCTTTGACTTCATATTTTGTAAAGATGTAAGTACATTTTACATGTAGGCCTATAATTGACTATTTGGCAATACAGAACTGGTTCGCCATTTCTCTTCAGGAAAGGGCAAGATGCCGCCTGCTTTTATTTCCCGTTTTTCTCGTTTACTTTTTTGTGGAGGCAAAATGGAATCTGTACGAACAAAGGAAGGAACTGGAATCCCTTATAGTCTACAGGCAGCTTTTCCCATCCAATGTATTTATTTTTTCATTAGAATTTTCAGACTTCTAAAGTGTAACATGGGAATATCTCAATTGCCTTTTAGACTCAAACTACAGACTCTGTAGTTTGAGTCTAAAAGGCATTTTTTACCTTCAAGACCAGGAGAGTACTTTGAAGTCAAAGTATGAGTGTTTTGCTAGCCCAAACCTAATGCAAGTTTTTTTGGTGTGTGTTTGTTTCTTTGCTTTTTTATTTTTAGGGGAAGGGGTTACATTTTTTCAGTATTTGTGAAGCAATGTAGAGTGTGATTTAGGGACAAGGTCCATGTGCGTTCTGCAGTGGAATTTTGCTCAAGGGTGTGTCCATTTGGTCAAGGGTCTGTCCACCTTCATCTCTGTTTCTTACTGAAACTGTTTTCCTAACAGATGGAAATTCGTTTTGTACGTTTCAGATTTAGATCAGGACAGTTTAGAACAAAACGAGTTATACTGATATTTGTAAAAAATTCACTCTTTAGAGGTTGGAGAACATGACTGAAGCAATCATTCTAACGGCTGCTTAACAGCAGTAGAGTGCCATTTCGTTATGCAGTGCAGTTTTAAAAGGCACATTAGTACTGTTAGTGTACAGTTCGTAAAACTTTTGATTGGCATGGCACACTTTGAAGATGAACAGAAGTATTTCAGAATGTGGTGTAAAACTGCATATGCTAACTTTTAAAAGACTGTAAAACTTTTATCTATCTATTTTATAGGGAATCCCGGGCTTTCACGAGAAGAACTTTGCACGTCATGGAAAGATATTTGGGTAAGCCGTCATGTTTGTGCTTGAGTGCATAGGGGGACTCTGGTTTGCTGTCTCAATGTTGTATTTTGAAGGGAACCTGTCCCGTACAGGATAAAGTGTTTACTGAAAACATACCTAAATTATCAATTGTTGACCCTCTTCGTGCATTATTGTGTGGTTAATCTCAACCTCATGTTTTTTGTCTGAATGTTTTATTCTGAAAGTAACCTTTTCCAGTATGGGCTGAAGTTTTTTCCTCAACACGTCTAAATTATCCGCTGTTGACTCTCTACGTTCATTATTATGTGGCCAGATTTGGATAATGGCTGTCGAATTTCTAGGCTGTATTAGAAAGAAAATCAGAAAACCAGGAGAGTGAAGAACAATATGCACGCAGATTCCACGCAACGGCAACGCACGAGGATTTGTGGTCCTGGCGCTTCATCTGTGCCAAATTATATTTGAAATATACAGCTGTTTCACAGTTGTTAACCAAAATCAGCGATAGTTGTCGATGAGCACATTTTTGGGACAAATGGGAATGCCACTTGCATCAGTCCTGCCACTGAGGTTGTCAGTAATTAAATGGGTGAGGAAGCAACTCATGATTCTCCATTTTTTTTTGGGGGGGGGCGCCGGTACGTATGAGACTGGGCAGGAAACAAGCAGCCTTATGCTGCAATTGGTATCAGCCAGACACTTAGGAGAATATTTAGGAGTATGTGAATTAACTAGCAACCGCAAGCAGTAGCATATGCGATTGGTACAATGTGAAGCAGAAGCGGTCCGGTTCTCATGTAAAATTTCCTTCAAAAGATTGCTGAAATAAAATACGTTTTCTCGCTAGTTGATGGGGTTACACTTGTCGAGACTTCGTGAAATACAATTTCAGCTTAGTAAAGTTAATGACGGCATGAACGAGACGGTATGCATGCATATACATTTGTTTCTGTGCATTTTAATGCTCAGAGTCATATTTGAAAATTCACCCAAATCCAATTGTCGCTGGATTCCGAGCTTCATCGTCCGATTTATTAACAACAGACTGAGTAAGACGGAAGACAGCAAAGTGTAATTATACATGATACGCAGACCTATGGCGCAAAACATGTATACAGTCAAGGAGTATAGCTTTGGAGATGAGGAAATAAAAAAAAATATGGAGCGGTAAAGCAAGCTACCTGGGTAAGTAAAATGTCAACAAATTGTTGGACCACATGGTTGGAGAAAAACCAAGTTTGGAGGAAACCCTGTTTTTCAAAAAGGCAAACATCATCTTCATCATAACATAGAGCTACAAACCCTGGGTTTGTAGCTCTATGATCATAATCAGCATGGGTTTGTAGCTCTATGGTCTGTCTGTCTTGGCCGCCAAGAAATGTAGACCTACATACATGGACATGCTGGATACAGGAATTGTGTATTTGTGGACCATACTTGTATTCCTACAGTAAGTGGGAGATTAAACTTTCGGATTCACAAAGGTAGTTAACGTTGACATTATGCCATTTACACCTTTGGGAGAAAAATAAAACCGATATATTTTATGACGTTCCTGACCCCCAAAAATCTAGCTCGGGGGGACCCCGTTGTCTCCCCCGAGATCTACTTTTGCCAATCATTTTGTAGACTCAAGAAAGCAACGTGTTATAGAAATGGCCCCAAGTTGTACGGTTTAAAACACCTTTTTCCCCCTCTTCAAATTTTTTTTATTTGGCAATAACAATTTTAACAAGTCACACTCTACGGTATATTGCCATCGATGCTAAACAGTGGCGAGGCAAATTTGGGTGCGCGTCATCGTGTATGCTTTTAAAACATCTTTGAATGCACAATGCGAAATACCTCACTTTTGCCTTGAAATGGGATTCCACATGTCACTACTTCTTCCTTACGCTTATCTCGTCATGTGCCCTTCGTTCCTGTAGCTTTTATACTGGATGGCGCGCCGTCCTGCTGGCAGCAGATGTTGACTTTGTCAGAATGCTGTGCATCAAGGAATTCTCAAATTTCACTAATCGGAAGGTGGGTAGAATTCTGAGAAACACAAAACAAAGAAACGCTCAACTGTAGTGGTCAGAAAAAACGCGAAGAATATTGCTCTTTGGGGGATTCAAACTGAAAGGGTCTGAAATTAAAAAAGTAGGCCTATGCTGGCTCACGAAAAATGGAGGGAGATAAATTAGCATTACTCTCCCAAATCTGCATGACTATCTACATGTAATAGCTTTACACTTGGAATGTAGTTCACCAGCCAGCTTAAAGAAACGAAAACAGTAACATAAGCAGCAGTGTCGGGTCCTTGTCCGATGTCAATCTCAAAATCACACATCATGTATGAAAAAGTGTAAGGTCAACAATCAGTTTCGAGTTACAGCGAATGGGAAAGGGTTTTGTAAAGGGAAGATTTCTATTTCTTGGGTTGAGTAGACACTTTAAACATTGCCAGAAAGTCCTGACAGATTTCTTGATTTCTTATGGGTACGTTAGAAGCAGGCAATCGACAATAAGCCATTCGACAAGGCGCTGACTGCACTAAGGGACGATCACTGGAAGGATGTCAGGGGTATCCTCAGTCCCACCTTCAGCGGATCTAAGATGAAGCTGGTAAATGCATTGTCTCCGTTGTGAAAGTAAGCTGACACAATGTTGTCAGCCTGTTGTGGACAATTATAATGCTCCTTTCTTTAGTTGTTCAGTACACATATATGCATCAACAGGTCAGGTTGGCGTAGTGGTTCCTTCCTGGCCTTCCACCTCTGTGGTCCAGGTTCGAATCCCATCTTGGTTCACATGTGGATTGAGTTTTCAGTCCCTACCCGATTTCGTGGGTTTTTCTCCCACCTCTAAAACTGTAACTGCTTCCCGTGGTCTTCCCTCTACAGGTTTCTTCAGGCTCGCGAGCTGCAGCGCCCATGCATGGCGCTTTTGAGCAATCCTTGATGTCATTACCAGATATAATAAAACCACCACCACTACCACAACATATCTACATGTACGCGATTCGTGGACTTCGGACACTAGTTTTTACTTTTCGGGTTTTGTAGATTTTGAAGACGTGATGAAGAAGGGCTTTGCACAAATTGTCTCAAGTTATTCAGTTGTTTCAGCTCACTGAATCGTTTCCGTTTTTGATCAGATGGCGCCACTTATCAACAGTTGCCTGGATCCAATGATCAGGAAAGTTGCTAAACACTACGAGGAAGGCAAGAGCGTTCAGCTGAAGGAGTAAGTTATCTACGTGCTTCATCTTGATGGCCCAGGTTAAAGTTTATGCCAAGGCAGAAACGCACATGGACACATAATGATCATTAGCATTAAGTTTAAAATGGCGTTCGCTTATACCATGCCAGACGTGTCCTGTATTAATAATAATGCCATGTATGACTTTTTTACCCAGCATCTATGGTGGCTATCTTATTGACGCTATTGGCAACAGTGCGTTTGGTCTGACTCTAAACTCTCAAGAGACCGAGAACGACCCCTTCCTCATTCATGCAAAGGACATCTTTACTCCCAAGTTGAACTTAGCAGTTATTGTTTTCTGTAAGTATTTTCCGGAAATGAATGCCGTGATCATTACGAACAGAAAGCTGATGTTTTGAATTATCGATTTTAGCAACTGGATGTGAGGCTTTTACAGTTTTTATCTATTTATTTTTTATTTTCATGGAGGGAAACTTTGTAGTCCAAAGTCCAGAAAAGTAGCACATCCTGTACAACTTTTCTGGACTTAGTCCCTGCTGGCCCCAAGCCGCTTTTGGGAACGAGAAAATATGTTTCCAAATCTCACGATCACATTTCTCATTCGTTTTTGTAGTGGTAGCTCCGTTCCTGGCTCCCATCCTCAATTATTTCAATGTGTCCTCTTTCAACCGTAAAACGATGGATTTCTTTGAAAATATCATGGAGCAGGCAGTGGAACTCCGGAAGAGTGGAACAGAGCGGGTAAGGCCAAAAAAAAAAAAGACTCTGGTTTCTGCGGCTTTTTCCCCCCTGTCTTTTTTTTCCTTAGTTGTGATGTGCATGCACATATACTTTAGAGCGCATGGCCTTGTTACTATGAGAAGTGTGAATTTACAACTTTGAATTAATAAAATAACCATAAACTTTGACGAGAGGCAATGGTTTCAGTCATCTCACTCAAACAAGAGGCTTCAATGCTTGGCAAGATTGAGCTTGTTACAGTAGCACAACCGTGAAAAAATTGAATGTGAAAAATAAATATTCAGCTCCAGTTTCCGGTTTTAAATGAAATTCTCATGAGGTGACATTCTTTGTACATTGTTTTCTGCCTTAGATTAGAAGAAACAAGTTGCACGTCAAATAGCCTTTTTAAAAAATTAATCAAATAGATCAGCTCTAGACATGCCAGAGCCAAAAGGAAAATAAAATTCTCACGAGCTTATAAGAAACAAGCTGCACATAAAATATTAGGGGGAAAATTCAGTTTAGAAAATAAAATCTCCTCTCACTCTAATCTACCTTTGTTCTTGGCAAGTGACGACGCATGAGTTGTTACATTTATTGTCACAACACGATGCCTATCCCCACTGCATGCACTGCATGCATATGTACCGCCACAGCCTTACCGACACTGAAATGACTGGCCCCTCACGGTTTGTTGCTAAAAAGCGTTTTCAATTTGTATTATTAATATTGTTATTATTATTACTGGCTTATTGCTACTTACTTGCAACCCTAAGGTTCAATAGCAAAGTGGTACATCAAAATACTTTACAAATAAAAAAATACGTATAAGAAATATTACACTAGATAATGAAATAATGAGAACATCAAAACCATAAATAATACATACAAGTTCCAATATAATAAAGCATTGGGATCATGCAATATGCATTAAGACACATAACATTAATAGGCATTGCATATACTAAGACACCAGGGGAAAATAGTCAGTAATGCCCCCGTACATATTCGTCTCATCAAATCAAAGTTATGCACCATTCCAAAATCCCAGAATCAATTTTCAACTGTATATTATTCAACAATCTTGTCAATTACGGTAAGGGGCTATTTTGAAATCTTTTTGTTGAACCATGATGGCTGTCAAATTTTCGAGCTGACCTGAAGGACATTGAATGACACCTGTTAGATTTGGGAAACCAGTCAGGGAATTTGCTAGAACGGAAGGTCTTCAAGGAAAATTTAGTACACAAGTGTATTCTTCTTTCCGTTAAGGGTTCTAAATCAAGTAACCGCAGAGCTTCATCATAATTAGAGTAATTATTGCCAAGAATGATGCGACAAATTCGTCTTTGGATTGATTCTAATAAGTTAGATTGTGCTGTCCGTCAACGATGGATGCCAAACAGTAACAGCATATTCCATAATTGGTCGCTGGTAGTTTTTACACACACAGACCAATTCATCCTTAGTTAATCCCGTCATTTTAAGTTTACGAATCATGAACAGCTTACGATTAGCCTTAGTTAGAATGTCGGCAATGTGACCATCCCACTTCAGAATACTCTGAAGGATGACCCCTCGGAGCTTGACACTAGTCACATTAGGCAGCTGAACATTAGAAATATTGTAGGTGGCTTCTGGGGGATCCTGTTTGCCGAAATACACCTGTAATATTTAACATTTAGCAGGATTCAAGGAAACCCCATTACTCTTCGACCACTCACTCAAGATATCAAGATCATGTTGTATATTACCATTCTCATTGAACAAAAGGTTTTCCCCCAAGGTCAAGTCATCGACTCGACATATTTCCATACTTTCTAAAAGTTCTAGTGGGGAAATAAAAATCAAAATGTTTACTGATCATCTCAAAAAAATATCAGTTTTAACTTGACAAGAGCTAGGCCTAGCGCTAATTATTTCCTGCCATATTTTAGTTTGAATCCAATTTGCAAAAGATCGTACACTTGAGCCTTTCATCGGGCAAATAATAGACGTGCGTGCTTCTAGGAATTAATATCAGGTTCCCACATCACACAATTATGGTCACTTTGAGCTACTGGTGGCAAAGTCAAAGAGCTCTTGTACTGATTGTCAAAGTTAGTGATAATTAAATCCAATACAGCATTTTCTCTGGTTGGATCAGTTACAACCTGTTTCATATTGTATACGTAAGCAGGACGTGAGACCACTTCGTTTGTCTGGTTCACAGACGTGGGCCCGGGTTCGAATCGGCCGAAATTACACTGAGTATTTGGCAGCATCCACAGCCAGTTCTCATAGAATCATGCACAATATTAAGCCGCAGCCGACTGATTCGGATACGGCCTTCGTGTAAAGGTACACAGGCGTGCCAGACTGAAATGTACGGAGGCCTAGGGGGATTCCTTCACCGTACATATTACTCATTCCCACCCATCAAAAACACGCTAAAATTACGTGGTAGCAGAATCCCAGCCGATCAAGTAAGTTTGACAGCATTTGGAAATCGTTTTACGCAAAATAAAAAATCTTCTTTCAGGTCTTCTGCGACGCGCGCGGTGACCAGAAACCAGAGACTTGGGGGGCTAATGTTTTAATGTGAGTCATTAAAAAATTACCGGCACACGTTCCTGAAATTTAAGGAATTTCTCTTTATGCTGTATTAAAACACCAGAAAATAAATTAGAACATACTTATAAACTTACTTACTGTACTGAGAGAGCTTTTTCGTCTATTTATGTCCAAATGTCACAGTGCGACAACTGGACTAATAAAGCGGAATGAATTCAGGTTTCTATTTGACTACTCAAAAGAAAAGCGTTTTTATCCTGTAAAGAATTGAAAGCAAAATAGGTTAGCAGGAATTTTGTTTTGTTGATACCAAATCACAATTTGTCAAATTTTGTGTGTCCTTGCATGCATTGAAATCATTTGAATTTCAAATCACTGCACAAAGTTGAATTACTGCATACCCACTGGTCCAACACTAGCCCACCCTTTTCTTTTTATCAGGGATGTGAGTGGCCACTTAAAGCTGAAAACAGCTAGCAAAAAGTTGAAATGTAAAAAGTTGCTATACTTTTGTACAGACCAGATTTACAATAAAGTTGAAATTCTGGGTCAACAGAAAAGGTTGAAATCAGCTAAACAGCTCAATTCTTATACCCCCGTTTTACGCAGAGAGTGGACTTCCTGCAGCTGATGTTGGATGCTCACAAGAAGTCCGAATTGACTGCTGAAGACAAAGCTCAGGCAACCGAAGAAGAGAAACTGGAAGAAGAACACCGCAAGGGGATGAGCAAAAAATCTTTGACCATGGATGAACTGAAAGCACAAGTATGAAGTGGTCATTTTGCGCTTTAGTAAAACACTTGCAGGCGATCTAGAGCTTTCCACAACAGAAAAAAAATGTGCTGTGACATATTTAATTTGCTTGTTTCTTTGTTCACGCTTTTCTGTTCATTTCTTGTTGATTATGAGGTTTCTGTTTTCTAATACGCTTCAATATTCCATTATTACATAAGTATGATACCATTTGCACCTGTGTAATTATGCTTGAAACAGAAAATCTAAACCTGTCTCTAAGACAATAAGAAGTGAAACTTTCTTGCATCTGCTTTGATGGACTTACGCAGTAATAATTTCAGTAGTTGGTTTTTCACGGGTAATGGTGTTTCAAAGGACAAACACGAGGTAAGATTCGAATGTTGAAATTTAACATTAACATTAGAAAAAAACAGTGGTTTAAAATCATTATAAAATCATGCAAATTTCACATTATGTGAAATTTGCACGTTTCATCTTGTGAGTTAGGCTGAAAGGAAAAGAAATTTTAAGCGAAAAAGGGGCCGATTGGATTAGTTGTCATTCTTGCCAGTCTCATAAATATTCTATCTTTGGCAGGGATTGACCTTCTTCCTGGCCGGGTTTGAGACATCTAGTACCACCCTTGGCTTCACCTCCTATCTCCTGGCGACTAACCCGGAAGTTCAGGACAGGTTGATCAATGAGATTGATACCATAGCCCCGGGACGCGACCATGTCACGTACGAGAATATTGCCAAGATGACTTACTTGGACATGGTCATCTGTGAGACTCTGCGAAAGTATCCTCCCGCCATAATGTACGTACAGAGGCAACTCGTGTGTGTCAGTATAAGGATTTCTATTGTTTGTCAGATTGCACTCTTAAAAAAATAAATGCACCTGTTGTGACACCTGTGTCCTTTTAACTGGGGTTGTGTCTCAGGGACAGCATAGCCCCTCTTCAGTAATCTGAGGAATGAACAACCAAACTGTTGATAAATATCATACTCTGTTGAACGATAACAATGGCACTAAAATCTTTGCTTTTGTTCTTATACCCAGAAAACGGCGAGTCTTGGGAAGTTCCAAAAACCTTAGTGCTGAAGGGGGGATTTAATGGATGCGTCACACGTTTGGCAGTTTGCCAGCACTTGTGAATTTATTTGCAAAAAACAGATATAAGTTGTTTCACGGGCGTGAGAATTCGGCTTTTTGGTTGATTTCAGCTTTTTGTTTCGATGTTGACCCTGAATTGCAGCTTTTTTGTACATCTAGTCTGTACAAACGTATGGGAACCTTTTAGATTTCAGATTTTTGCTAGCCGTTTCCAGCTTTAAATTTACGTGGCCATTCAAACCCCTTCTCGAAACATATATGTATCATGTAATCCCAATTTTTAACTTGACGTTTGAGGCACTTTTCGGAAGATTTTGAATATTTTATTCACAGCCGGTCAACGTCAGATTTTCTTACCCGAAAAAGCTGTTGGGGCGGGCTTTTTTACCTGGAAATTCTTCAACCTTGCAATTACTCTTTCACCAAACTAAGCACGACGCGTTAATACGTCAACCACGGAAATAAAGAAACATTCTTAAACGAGCGCACATGTCCTCTGTGTTTACACGTCAAGTGGTTGAATTATATTAAATTATATTTATATATTAGACATATTACGGAAAATTATACATTCTACCTATAATCCTGTTAAATTCCTACGTGTCTCATGAAAGAAGAGGTAAGGTTTGTTTTGTACAATTCCCTGAGCGAATTCCCTGTCCTATACAGTCACCAAAAACAAAAACCTGTCAAAGACTTGTAATTATTGCTAAAAGCTCAAATCCCTTCTGACCATCCCTTTTGCTGAACTCAGCATGCCTAGGCCCCTTGTCAAGATTGTTACTCAGATTCCTCTTTGATTTGACGGTGTAATAACAGCTCTGCCCGCGAGGCCGGCCGCGAGTACAAGTACCAGGGGTTCACCATCCCAGAAGGCATGGAGGTCTTTTTTTCGATCTGGCAGATTCATCACGACCCTGAACTGTGGGAGGACCCTGACAAATTTGACCCTGAAAGGTAGAAAGAAGGGCCACGTCTATTTCTTTGCTGTTTTACCGTTCTTGTGATATGTGGCAGACTTGTTAAAACCGCGTTCTTACATTGTGTCGGGATTTTAATTTTGTTGCTCTGCCTAATGCCGTATTTCACTGATCTGGTAGACCCTCAATTATCGTGTACCCTCTATCAGATTATTATCAGATAGAGCTGTGAATTGGAGCAGTAGAGGCTGATTCTTAAGCTTTTCATAATAACGTCATATTGCACTTTTAGTCGGAACACATTATGCAAAACGTTCTCAAGTTTTTAAAATGGTTGCACCTGACAAACTTTGTCCAGCTTTTGATTTTTTGCAATTGAATTCTTTTAGTCTTAAACTTTGGCAGGTCTCGACAAGTAAAATAAATTTAACTAATTTAAGTGTAATTTTATTAAAGGGTGGATCAAAGTTTATTAAAATACCTAAATGGAACATGCAAGACCAAGACCACATTTGTCCACTGTATTTGATAAACTTCGATCCGTCCCAGGCCTTATACACTGTAGTTGTGGATATGAATAAATCACACCTTTTGAATGTACGGTTTCCAGGTTTACTCCAGAACGACGCGAGAAACGCCACCCGTGCGCTTACATTCCATTTGGTGCAGGACCACGCAATTGTGTCGGAATGCGTTTTGCTCAGCTACAGGTTGGTTGATTTACCATAAACCCGAGTAAATGATACTAAATAACTCATGATAGCTTGTTTTAAATTTTAAAAACATTTGAGTATCCGAGGACCTTATATCTTAACATGTTTAACCAGACTTCAATTCTTAAATGTTATTCCCCGTAAAATGAGCCTCCGTTTTATTCAAAGTGAAACCAGTGGTACATCTCGCCAATCTTTAACAGATCAAAATGGGTTTGGTTCGGATGCTACAGAACTTTCGCTTGGAGACGTGCCCAGAAACTGAGGTAGGTGGGACAATGTGTACAGTTGGGGCGCAGAATTTAGTACGGTGCACGTACCGGGGTATCTGCTCTGAGCGGCAACAAAAGAGGGCGCGCAAGTTGATGTCTTTTGTTAGTGAGGGTGCACTTCAACTTAGGGCAGATTGTCTACAAATCACAATGGTTACGATGTTATATGACCGTGTATTAACATTTGATAATGCCCGCTGCGTGAAAACGCGATAGTACTTGAGCTCGAGGCAGTTTAATTCATTTGGTCAAGAGTCTACGTGTGGCACGCAGAACTCGCCACTCGCACGCCAAGTCCATATAAAGAGATTATTCTGGTTTATTTGGACAAGGAATAGACATGTATTATAAAATGGACGGGGACTTCTGGGGAATGGAAGTAAAATTCTAGAACAAAATCCTTGGAAGTTTATAGTATATTGACGTCTTTTGGCTTTCTGACCAAAAAGGTATTTTAGGAATAAATGTAAATAATGTGCTTGATCGGTATAAAACGTTAGTTGAAGACCAGTAAAACACCAGTAAAGAGTAGAGGTTTGCGACAGCAGCAAGCAGGGATATTTCTTTCTGAGTACATGCGGTTCTGAAAGAACCGGTAGGTACTCAAGGTTTCAGAGAGCGCTCTGTCCGTCGTCAGGAGACGGTGGCAGCTTTCCGCACGGGTCCGCCGAGTAAGTATCTATGGAAGTGCGCAATGAGTTCAGTCAGTGTTTTTCCCCCTTTTTTCCCCCACAGATTCCACCAGTTGTTGGCAAGTTTGGATTCCTGACTCCTCCAAATGGGTTCAAACTGTCTGCTGTTCCTCGATCTTAACGTACCTGGACCTTGGACTCTTGGCACCAGCCAAACAGGGCTAAGAAAAAGTTGGAAGTTTCCAGAAAGATGCACGATATGTAGTCAGACTGTCGTCATAATTTTAGTACTTGTGTATTCCAAATAAGGTGTCGAGTAGCGTTTCAGAATTCTCGAATTCATTTTTTTCTAAGTAATGAAAGTTTGTTTGATTTTTTTTTAATATTAGGGGCCTTTCAAAAGTTCATGTTTTTTATTTGACTTTTTCTCGAAATAGTGGGTGGGGCTGGGTCAAGGTAAATTTTTGAAAATCGAAATTCACTTTTCATTAAAAAAGGTAAAGAAATCGGGCTTCTGACTTGCGCGAACTGCGTGCCAGCGTTCCGTATAAATACGGTCTTACTCTTTTCCAGCTTCGTTCCCAGGTACTTGTAGGAATAGAATGGCCTGTGTATCATGTACGGTGTGAAACTCTATGGGAAAAGTTGCGTTTTTTTATTGGAATTTCTGGTTGCATCCGAATCTGTTGTCTAAAGTTATTTATTTCGCGGTCTTGGGGCACGTATTTTCAGGAGTTACTGAAATCAAATTTTCTGTTGGAGCTTGCGAAGCGATGGGCAGTTTGCGACGGCAACCGTTTCAGCTGATGCGCCGCTTCGAACAGAAATCACACGTCAATATTTTGCATTTTTTAATGGGACGGGTTATTTGGACAGGAGAGTCCTGTAAATGAGAGCGTTGTAACAACAATAAATGTACACGGTCAATGGAAGAACAGCCACGGATGCAAAAAAAGAGCCAGAAGAAATTAAAGGCCTATCAGGGAGCGCAGTAAGAGAATTTGTATATGCGGTTGCGGGGCGGCGCTCAACATGGCCGCCGCCATCCATACTACACAATACTGAATGAGAAAAATGGGGGGGGTAATTGAAAATGGGGGGGGGTGGGTTCAAGACAATTTGGGGGGAAAAATCGAAAATTAGACCATCGAAAATTTCGAATTGACCCATAGTCCTTATGAAATGATTACATTTTCCACTGGTGGAATTGGCGTTTATTGTTAAATTTTCTCTGAAATTCATGCTTCCGTGTGTGTCTGTCATACCTTTATATCGGTAGTCAGTTTTTATTTACATGTGATCAGGTAGTTATATGTACTTCAAATTTATATGCATGTGATCTTGCTTTTAAAAATGTTGAAATATTTTAGTAAAAAATTACCACTAATGTACAGAGAAATTGATCTATTTTTACAACTTGGGAAATTATTTGTAGGAATCGTTGCAATATATAGTTTGCTGGACCGTTCACAGAACCATGCAAAAAATACTTAAACTGGGGGATATCCCAAGTAAAAAACAGAATTTGAAGCTTAATTTGGGAATGTTACAGAGTACAAGAGCAATCGGTATGAGGAACGTTTCAAGTTATGTTTGGAAACTTGATTTAATTTTTAATTAGTGGTATTGATTTATACAGTACAAAGATTAAAATGCATCGTGTTTTCCTTAGACTTACGTTGTGGTGGCTTTGCAGGCTCCACAGATAAGATACGAAATTTATTCAGCCAATGAAAAAGGTTAAAAAGAATTTACATCGGAAATTGACTTGTTCCCCGAGCTCAATTCAAAAACACACCAAATATATCCAGAAATACACATTACTGAATAATTACTTACCAACTCAACAAATACCCAGGGAAGATTACAATTACAACGAATTGTAAGCATGAATCGCAGAGGGAGAGAAACTTTCTGTAATACACTTGCTACCTCGAAAAGTCCTGAGACGTCGATTGGAAGAAAGGAATGTGAAGTTGTCATTAGCCGGATGAGGCTCTTCTTCCATGATACACTTAACACGTTTATGCATTCTATCGTTGTAAATGAAATTAAGTAACGGCAAACTTGTACCAATGATCATCTCTGCTGACTGAACAACAGAATTTAACTTTCGTAGATCGTTAACACAAATCCGACCAAAACCAACCAGTAACTGACGAACAAAGGATGCTTTCTTCCCGGTAACAATTGATTAAAATACATTGACGGACCCGGAATGAGTTCAGCTATCATAAAAAGAATCATCATTGGCGAGCCTTCATCGTGATTTCCGGGCTCTTTATGTTCCATGTAAGATTACTGGCTATGTGTGTACCAAGTAGCTTAAAGTTGTCAACTTGCTCAACAGCTTTCCATCAATGCAAACAGGGTCTTTTGTTTTCTTCTTGCTCATACGGAAGTATATAATCATCTCCTTAGTTTTGTCTACATTATGTACCAGATTGTTATCCTTGCATCAATCTGTGACAGAATTCATTTGTGAACGATAAGCACTTTCATCATTGTTTTGGATAAATCCGAAAAAAGAGGTATTATCTGCAAACGTACTGACCAAAGAGTCAGAATAAGCTGTATGTTTTCCAGTTATTGATGGAAACACAATGGTACTGCTGATCTGAGTGAAGCTTTATTTGCGAAAGTTTTGAAGCACAAGAGCCATTAGTATCAAAAATATCAAAAGCTAGGCTTAGAGGCCAGAATTAATTTCAAAGTAGTCGTATTGTGCAAAGATTAAAAATGCATTTTGTTTTTCGTTTAGAGTTAAGTTGTAATGATTTTACTTTATTTAAGTCATTTAATTTTACCGAATAAAAGCAGGGCTTCATAGGCTGTTTGTTTTTACAATTAATTATGCGCCAACACAGAAAGGAAACGCAAAAGGCAAATTGAGCTTGTATCTCTCGCCAAAGCTTCAATTTCAATCGACATTTTCTCACTGGAATACCAAAGATTACGGGCAAACCGGTAGACTAAGAACACAATACCAAAAAACAAACTAGTAGTCTACATTCGAAATTAGGTGGTACCCATGACCACGATAACTCGGAAAGAGTTGTGATGCCTATGACCACAACAATCAAGACAATGATTGTCGTATACCTAAGATCACAAACCATATGTGCCAATAAGCATTGACTGTCAACCTTAAGCAAAATGTCCTGATGCCAAAGACCACAATCCATCAAATCAGTAATGGTGGTTACGTAAAAAACAGTACACAGTCCAAGTGTACAAATCCAAGCCCTTGAAAACGCGATGCACATGCAGTGGGGTTACAGCCACCACACGCTGTAGAGATTGGAGCTAATGTTACATGTATGTGTGGTATTCATTTCGGTTGTACTGGATCAGCCCTCAGCCCGTGTGGCACACACGGGGTACAATAAGTTGAGTTTAAAAATTCAGTTAAACCTGCATTTATTTGAACATATCGATTGACTTAAACTTGTCTTCCCTCATAACCAAAATTTGGCAGCTTGCTTTCTTTAGGGTACAAAAACGCCACTCGCGAAAAGCGCGACACGCAGAAGAAACGAGCACCACGCCAGACGAGAAACTTTCATTACGGGCAATTCCCCGGTAACGGAATTATATTTTAGAACAAAATTGACTGCTATTTTCCATGCTATGAATTAGTCCTTTGAACTACATGAATACAATATCTTTAATAACGTCTGGCTATAGCCCTACCATCATACCAGTAATAAAAGATTGAAACATACTACTTGTAGAAAGATCCAAGGACCAGAATATTTCGGTAACGGAATTACGTCAGAAAATGAAGAACTTTTTCAAACATAATTTGAAAAGGAAATTCTCTGAAATCTGTAACATGAAGACCACAGCTACACATTTATCTGTTTTCCCTATGGTTTCAACTTTATTGTAGCAGCAGTTTCAGAGTATTCATATTTACAAATATTCCATACTCGGTCACTTTTCAAAAAGAGGCAGTGGTAACGGAATTTTAAAAAATGGTAACGGAATTACACCTGTGAAATGTACCTTGAAAAATGTCAATTCTTAAAAAGTATATGTTTTTT